GGACAAATCGGACTTCGGCAGCGACGGAGGAGGATTTGTGAATTTTTTTTATGAATAGGATTTGTAAAATTTATTATGCCGTTAGAGGAGCGAAGAAGACAGGGGTGAGTTTCTGGTAAGCATTTGGAGGTTGCATGCAGGGGCGGAGCTACACTATGCCTCGGGGGGGGCCTCGGGCCCCCGAGAATTTTGAAAATGACGTATAAATTTTTCATGATTAAGGAAAATTACGTATAAATGTAGTATAATACATATAATAAATGTTGCAAACTATATTAGAGTGTGTGATTTAGTCTAACGGAATGACATTAACAGGTGATTAAGAATGATGTGGGTTCAATCCGCCATACAGTAACTTTTGTTCTTTTCTTGTTTTAGTTGTACTTTGCTTGAGACTCCAATATAAATATATAATCATCTAGTTTCCATATTTTAGTTTCTTAAATAAATTAGGTTCTTAAACTAAGCATTTCAAAGTTTTAAGGACTTTTGAAATTATAATGAGTACTTTTTGGTTTTGTATTTACATTTTTTAAGGACTCTTTTAAATATATTATGAGTACGTGTTTTAGGAGATAGTGCATATTGATTTTTCAGCTTTAAAAATAATGAAACTAGTTAGCATTCGAATGCATTATTAAGTTTGTTGGTAATAAACTCGTTTATAGTCAAAATGACATAGTATTTTTATCTTAAATCATGTTTTAAAAAACCTTATTGTCTTAAAAAAGTGGTTTGGACAATTATGATGATTAAAAGTATTAGTTTTCTTTACTTTGATAATTATTTTTTAGTTTGTTTTTTTTTTATAACACGTGTAAAATAATTCCCCCCCCCCCCCAAGCTTGATTCCTAGCTTCGCCCCTGGTTGCATGAATATGGAGTTAAGAGTTCTCCTTCTTCGTCTGCAGGATGATGAAAGACAGCGACGATAGGAGGAAGCTGAAAGACGGCGAAGACAAGATACTCGGCGACAGCAGATAGTTACAGTAGCTTTCTCTCTTGTATTGATTTGATTCGTCTTCTTTGTGGATATAACTAGCCGATTGTTTTTTGCTCAATATATGAATCTCGCAATTGTTGGATGTTGGATACTATTAATTGTGATTTGTGAACTTTTAATTTGTAAAAGGAGAGGAGCAATTTCTGCATTCTTTGTGGGAGAGGGATAAACAAGAGTTCGAACAAGGAAGCTAGGTATGCCAAAATGAGGATACATAGGTCTTTTCACTTTTTAGTTGAAGAATAACTCATGTTAAAAACCTCATCAACCAAACATGATATTTAAAAACGATTACCGCATCAATACCACACATATAACACATTTAGAAATAATGAATCATTTGGTACACAAATACCACACTCTCTCAATAATGCATCCAAACGACCCCTATATTTATTCGGGTTAATGCCACATTTGGTCACTGGGATTACAAAATTGTGATATGTTTAGTCACTAGAAAAAAATAATATCAAATTTGGTCACTCGAATTACTAAAACTGGTCACACTTAGTCACTCTCTGTTTGCCTCCGTCCAACTCCGTTAGTGGAGTCCGTTAAGTGCTGACGTGGCTAACGGAAGCACCTAGTCAGCACCGTTTTGGGCCGGAAATGGTCAAACCCGACCCGCCACGTCATTAAACCCGCCATGTCATACACCCATGACCCAACCCATTGAATTCACCCAACCCGACCCAGATCCAAACCCTAGCCCACCTAACAAAACAAAACTGTAAAATCGAACGGGTTAGTTTCCATTCGCAGAGCCGAAAACCCTTCTCCGTCCTCGAGAGTTCTTCACCTTCCGCTAGGTTCCACCATTTTTTATCAAACTCATCAGAGAGCAGAGAGTAGGGAGAGATGGAGCCAACCACACTACCCTCATGAACCCCTTGACCTAGAACGTTTACAACCACTCTCGCGCTTGTGATTTCATTTTGCTATGTGGAATTGATTTCTTTACGAATTCCAGAATTTTTACAACCACTCTTCGACTGAAATCTATGTTCGTTTTATGGAATTGATGCAAAACTGGACCAGAGAAGAGAAGAACCATTGTCTAGAAGAAACTGAGAAGTCATTCAAGCATTCAGGGGAAATCCTCCGTCTAGCAATGCAGTCAAAATCGCGCTTTAAAACTTAAAAACTTACGATTTTACGCTTTTAGGTCACCAAAACGCTTTCGTTTCCATATAGAAACTTAAGTGTATAAAATCGGACTGAATGGCGCTTTAAAATTTAAAAGCTAATGATTTTACGCTTCTAGGTCACCAAAACGCTTTACGTTTTTACGCTTTTAGTTCACTAAATGAGTATTCTTTTCATGAAATTAATTATAAAAAGTATATTTTAAAAGTAAATCACCAACAATATGATACATTTGAGATTAGAAGATACATATAAGGTACTTGGATGCATTCTCAACTTCAATAGAGTAATATAATTCATTAGCATAGAGGGAAAAGTGGCTTATTGTTAAAATTTATGTTTACGAACTTATTATTAAAATGCTATAAGTTGTTCTACTTTAGGCATGAATCGCATGTATTTCTTAACTTATCTGTGCATTCATATTTTGCATAGCATATGTCCTACTTAATAGATTTTAGTTATTTTTCAGTATGCCCCAAAAACTTACACTTTTACGCTTTGATTCTACGCTTTACGATTTTATCCCTTTTCCGCTTCTAGGTAGAATCGCGCTTTTGACTGCATTGCCGTCTAGTACTGCCATAAATGGTCTGTGGTAGTGATACGTTTAGTACAGCTGAAGCCCTTGTCTATCGAAGTCTATACGGCGAAATCGGACTCGTCGACCATGCTTTTCCGATGCAACGTGCTTTGCTTCGTTGGCGGCGGCCCCGAGCCTCTCTATTCGGCCGAGCAAGGAGGAGGAAGAGGGAGAAGAAGAATCCATGTCGCGGTGGAATAGAGCTTGAACGGGTCGATGTTGTAGATCCAGAACCCGTTGTCGAGACCGCGACGAAGCATCCGCAGTCCTGGTTGATGGAGAGGTGGTAGACGGAAGAGACCTCTGCGATGGGGCAGCGTCTTCAATGGATGCGGGGAAAGCAGAGGCGGCGAAGAAAGAACAGTCGATCCGAAACCCGTTCTTCCACGTACAGATTTCCGAGGAACGAGAAAGGGTTTCGGGTATTAAAATTGAAATTTTGTTTGGTTAAGTGGGCTCAAATTTGGTTCAGGGTTGGGTTGGGTATATGACATGGCGGATTAAGTGATGTAGCGGTTCGGGTTTGACCATTTCTGACCCAAAATGACGCTTGCTAGGCGCTCCCGTTAGCCACGTCAGCATTTATCGGACTCCACTAACGTAGTAGGACAAAGGCTAACGGAGAGTGACTAAGTGTGACCAGTTTTAGTAATTCGAGTGACCAAATTTGATATTATTTTTTTCTAGTGACTAAACATGTCACAATTGAGTAATCCGAGTGACTAAATGTAGCATTAACCAATATTTTTTATTCTATATCTATACTAGCTTTATCTCTATTTATTTATTGGTTCCGTTTTGATCACGTTGGCTTGAAATTTAAACTGAAGCCATTACTATAGTTTGGTAACTGCCTTTGCGTCTCGGAAAGTTTGAACCCATATGATGAAAACTGGGCCAGACCGTCCGATCATACCGGAAAACCCGAACCCGGGCACAAGTCCGGCCCCGGAAGGATAAAAGCGACTGGGCATGAGGGAAAACAAACTGGCGCTTGATATTTTGGAATTTCATTTACCTAATAATTAAAATAAACAGAATAAAGGCAACTGAATTATGATAAATGACGGCTAGAGATGGCAATTGGATCAGATTCGTAGATTTGATTGATGGATTCATAGATTTAGGGGTGGAAATCGGTACAGTATCGGTATCCCAATACCAAATACCGAAATCTCGAATACCGAATTACACCCTAAAATCAATCCCAATCCCAATCCCTAAATAATTTCGGTATCCCAATCTCAATCCCTAAATAATTTCGGTATCCCAATCGGTACCTCGATATCCTAATCGGTATTATCGAATACATAATTAATTACCTTTACAATTAATAATTAAATATATATAAATTAGATTTTATTGTTTAATTTAGAGCGAAGAGACTAAGTAAATAGTCTTGAGTTGCCTAGAGTTAACATCTCAAGTTCTTGTAATTGCTAATCTTTAATTTGCCGAATTTGAGGTTGAGAGACGACTAATAATAGTATAGTGTGAAATAGTGATGTAATGATCTATGTATAATTAAATGACACTTTTGGCGGTTGATGGTCACGTAGTAGTGAATGAGAGAGTTTAGTTGAGGGGATAAAATACACACTAGCTTATATTTCGGTATTGATCGATATTTCAGTATATACCGATCCCAATCTCGTAATCCCTAATACCGAATAACAATTGAAATTCAATCACAATCCCACAAAATAATACATGTATTCGGTAATACCAAATATATACATGGATCAAATGGATTGGATCCAATGGATTGGTGGATTCATGAATTGGATCAAATGGATTGGTGAATTGATCCATGAATTCAAGGCTTGGACCAAAATGTAAAATTTAAAAAATTTTGGTACTACAATGTTATAATGAAAAATTTTAGGTATCAACATGTAATTTTCCAATGACATTTTTCATATAAAAAACATAAATACCAAATTGTAATTTGTCATTTGGACCCATGAATTGATTCATGAATCCACAAATCCAATTGAATTTGGATCAAATGGATTGGATTTAAATGGATTGAATTAGGTGGATAATTTGGTAGATAGATTGGATTGAATTCATGATTTTGGATCATGATTACCACCTCTAATGACTGCTAACTTTTTACTACAAAAACATACCTTCTTACTTTTTGAGTTTTTACTTTATTTTTTTATTTTTACTCTATTCTTCTTTCTTTTTATTTAGAGCAAATACCAGATTTTGACCGATTTTTAATACTGGTTAATCAACGGTTATCCAATAAACCTTAAACCTCTCGTTTATTTGGATCGATGTCGGGTTCGGTTTTGACAACTCTAGTTTGAACGACAGTAGGCCAGTAAAAGCGGTTGGGAGAAATCGTACGATAAACATTCTTGCAACGTGCGAGAGTTTCCTAACCGGATGATTGCTGTGCCTGAACATAATGAAAAATGGACAATGTTCCACCTACATCCTTGTGATGTTCAGACCGCAGCAATGAAACAGTTGAGGAACTGCAGTTGAGAATGTGAACGAAAGAGATCAGCAACCGATTCCTACTCCATGAAAGCAGTTTAGATGAAACAAAGAAGCTCAAAGAATCATAGAACCACTCTTAACACATCCACTGCCATCATCAATACTAGTCAGGTAGCAGAATAAGGGCACATAGGGAATCCTATATCGGTTGTCGACATGCAAACTAGAAATTCAGCCATATGCTTGCCAAAAGAGAAATCATCGGCCTGAACCTCACTCATACCACCACAACAAGATTTCAAAAAGCTTAGCAGCACTACTAAGAAAGCCTGATCACAATATTGAGAAAGAAGACGATTCAGGGTCATCAGATAGGAGCGAAAGACTTAAAAATTTATCTAATCACAGTGATTAATCAGCTGAACTATGCATTATAAATCATCACCTGACCCCATTTGTAACCGAAAAACAGAGACTTCGAACAATGAACAAAAAGAAACCAAAGAAAAGATAGCCTCAGAAGGAAGGCAGTAGTGGTTTGTTATGTAATCAAGCTGTTTAGTCATACAACACAATATCACCAGTTCTCATCACAGGCATAAAAGAAACGAAGCATTGAAAACCAGAAAGGAAATCAAAGTGGGTTGGCCTCATAGAGAAGATTAGGAATATCAACAGGAGTAAAATTCAGACATATGCTTGTCAATTTATGAATTAAATCATCGGCCATAACGCTTGGATATCAGAAAAGAAGGAAACTTGGATCTGGGTTTTTGAAGAGAAAACGAAATTCAGGGGACTCAGAATATGGGTGGTGATATATCAGAATGGTCGTCAAGGCCTTTTACAGCCATTACGACGAACGAGACCTTTCGTGATAGTAATCGTCACGGTCCCCCTCCAATCAAAATATGAAAAGCGAGGATCAAAAACCGCGACCAGCTAAATAAAAGAAAGGATAAACAACGGCGATACAGAGGCAAATCAAAGCAAACCCTAAACCTGGAGCAGTGGATGAGAGTGGATCTGGAGATGATGAGGGGACATTCGCTGGTACTGCTACTTATAAGAGAGAGATAGCGGAAGGGAAAGGGAAGCGGCTAGGGTTTTGAACTTTTGATGAGAAGATTGCAGGGGTTTCGAAACATGGGCTTTGACGTCCGACGTTATCTAGGCAGCCTGGTCCCAGTAATGAATAATTCATAACCATAGGCCCATTTGTGGCGGTTAATGACCTTCAGCCGAATTAGAGCAAGCTAATTACCAACGGGAGGAGAGGAGTAAAGAGGCCGGAGGAGTTCAGGCTGTTTACTTTCATTTCTGTTTTTTGTTTTTTTAGAAAATAGATATTGAAAATAGATGAAAACCACATTTTGTCGTTCCGAAAACAGCAGGAAGTTTTCACTTTCTGTTTTCATAGTTGGAAACGAATAGAAAAGGGAATGAAAAATAAACAAGTTTTCCCGTTTCGGTTGCCAAATTTATGACATGAAAACAGAAAACGAAAAATGGAAGTGAACAGGACCAAGTTGGAGAATACTTTTCGTCGGGGTAAATGACACATTTGGTCACTGAGATTACTAAATCGTGTCATATTTAGTCACTAGAAAAATTTAATATCAATTTTGGTCACTCGAATTACTGAAACAGGTCACATTTGGTCACTCTTCTGTAGCCTCTGTCCAACTCTGGTCACTTGAATTATTGAAAAATGTCACATTTAGTCACTCGGATTACTGAAACATGTCACATTTAGTCACTCTCCCAAAAGTTTCCGTCCAACTACATTAATGGAGTTGGACGGAAACTGACGGGAGAGTGACTAAATTTGACCAGTTTCGGTAATTCGAGGGACCAAAATTGATATTAATTTTTTCTAGTGACTAAACATGACACAATTTAATAATCTCAGTGACCAAATGTGTCATTTACCCCTTTTCGTCGATACCATACTACGATGTACCGCTACAAATTTTTAGGTCATTAGCATAGGTTGATCGACTCAATCAATGTGGCTGCTAAAGAGTCGTGACATAAACAGAACCATTAACAATCAAGTACTGGTTGGCACAGTTCCAAAATCTAACCTTCTGCTTCCATGTTCTCTATTGTTTTGAAGAATGTGTGACCATGGCGCCGGTGGCGGTAAGCAAGCAGGCTATGTTGGACGAGCCAGAGACAGAGTTACAACACCCATCTACGCGCTAGCCGAAAACCTGAGAAATGGTGTTGGTCAAGCATAGGAGAGACAAATGATGAACACACGATGATCTTTTTTTTTTTTTTTTTTTTTTTTTTTGATAATGCACACGATGATCTTATCTACACGACCACCTTACAAACCGAGCAAGATTGTTAGAAAGAGCTGCTACCGAGTGTACATATTTCAGTCTGATATTTCTTCTTTACCCAAAGCCATCGTCCTAAACTGAGTGGTGAAAAAACGATAAAACCAAAGCCTAAGAGAAGACCTATCTCTCTGCCTACTTCGTCAAACCATTACTGCTATACCTTCCAACCAAATGCTAAACTCTACAATCTGGACAACAAACAATGTTTACATTCGCCACCACAATCTTGCCGACGCTACAATAGTAAATGCTTTTGATGACCTTTATGATCGCCCATGAAGATATAGATGATTTCCAGTGGCGATACCTGGTGACTTTGATCTGCAAAATAATGGAAAATGAAATAAAAATCTGCCTGCCTGCATGCCTTGCTTCCTTTTCGGTATCAGCTTCTGCTCAGTCTATTTCTATCGACTGTGACGTGAGAATCCAAAGTGGACAAGATCTGGGGCATCGACATCCCTCCAGAAACAACGATCTCTGCAATTAACGAAATTAACAGAAGTATGTCAGATGTGTAAGCTGCGTATTGGTGACCGGAGTGATGCTACCCGTGAGTTTGTGAACTGCTCAGCTGTTGCAAGGATGAACGAGGAAGAGCAAAAGAATAAAAATCATTGTACGACCAAGCTTCCTAGTTCCTACTGCCCAAATATTCATACGTCAAGTTCAGTGGAATCCTCACCTATTCCTTCCCTGACTGACAAATTAGGTCTGATCACATCCTTAGTACTGACAAGGAATATGTCACCAATGTATAGATGATTTGTAGGGACATAAACACAGCAGAGTTCCTCATCTCCAGCATAGTTCTGCACACACAGACCACAGTTAGTAAAACAGGAAATATTATAAAAATTATGTGCAAGATCTTCTAAAGCATTCCCCTACAAGGATATAAAGTGTGCTGATGTTCTCCCAACTTAATGGTGTCAAGAAGACCATGGGTGAAAACAAGCTGTGACATTGAGTCAATGGCAAACAATTTTCTATCATGTGTTTGAATTTAAACCTGGAGGGTGACAGAAGAAGTGATGAAGCCAAACGCATATTCACCAATACGTGGATGTCTTATAATGGCTACTTCCTTGAAGGCCTGCGTGTTCTGATCTGAAATAGTGAAAAAAGAGTACAAACTTACCTCAAATGGTATCCATCATCGGAACTCATGTGCTACAATCCACAGAAGATCTGCCAAAGAGTCATACCTGGTGATATGGCAGCACCAATTTGTTTTGAGGCATTATAGATATGGCGGACAAATGGCATCCTTTTGATAAACCATTCTCCAAGGCTCAAGACTGATGCCCCCAACCAAGATGACATGAATACTCCAACCACGAAAATGAATGTTATGGACGTAACAAATCCGAGGCCTGGCAGAGAAGCACAAGCAAAGTAAGTTATCACCAGTTTAGCATTACAGAGGACAGTTCATTCCGACACAAAAAAAAAAGTAGGAAAGCAGAGAGAGACCACACTTCAACCAAATACTACTCTGCACAACCATGTTGGCTGACAAACAAAATGCAACAGAAGGAACACCAAACATTTTAACTATAAAGCAGCAGTTCCTGGACTATATAGCACCAGATACCAAGTCCTTATCAGGATTTCAGAGAGAAGCTTCTGCTAGTCCGAGAACAAGGATTAATTAATTTCAGAAAGGCACTGCGAGAGACTAAACAGGATTCACTTCAAGCACTGAGGTACGCTTGAACAAATCAGAGCTTGGGAACAATTTTTAACTTATGAGAAGTGGCTCTAGTGATATGGAACTCCTAAGAAACAATCAATCCAGCATAAACAGCCAGAAGCAAATGGATATTGAGCCATTTGCATCCACAAAACTTTAGGTTTCAATGGTCAGAGGAACTTCCTCAAACTTCAAGTTTTTCCAAAGAGTACTAGTATACTAATGCTGAGCAAAAGTACTTACCAAAGATATTGATTCCAAGTTGAGCATAGATTGGAGAGAAAAAGCCATCCACAAAGTGAATAAACCACCATGTTACATAGAATGTAATAGCAATTGGGAAGAGGATAACACTGCAACAAAACCAAGAACGAGAATCAGTGACCAATGAAGCTAAAAACAAATCGCAGTATCAAATTGCCAAAGTATCACTGACGGACATCACCATCAAACAAAGGGCCACTTCAGATCCTCAACACAAAAGCATGAGAATCAATTCCACATTTTAAATGAAGGTTTTAGAAGCCATATCTGGTGATTGAACTCACTATGTTGAGCTTCTGGTAGAAATATGAGGATGATATTGAAGACCTAATAACTTATTCTATGCTTTAAATTAATTGTCGTTAATGTATACATACATTCAATAGGACTATGGAGACAACAATATGGACAACAGTAATGGATTCAAAAGAACATGGGATTTTGTCAAAGAGAACTCAAGGAAGCCATTGATAAGGTTCCACAAGAAGAAAGAAGCCAAAGGCTCATTCAGCATGCTCAAACGAGTCAGGATCCAGATTTTATTTTAAGCTCACTTGATAGCAAGAGGACAAAGATATTAGCATCCGTGAGCCAGAAAGAACATTCTTCCAAAACTTGGAAAAGAAAATAAGGCAATGGAAGAAATTCCATACCATCCGGTCATAAACTTTTTTGAAGCCCAGCTCCGAAGAACTTTGGAGAATGTCTGCATAGGCAAAAATTACAAACACCAATTCATCAGATAACAAGCTACATGCTTACAAAAGAACCCTGGATAAGTGAGGGAACACAATGAACACTAGAAAATGAAATGTTGTTTTATACTCCAGAAGAAACTAAGTGAAATTCTCTAACCCGACAAAAACACTTCGTAATATAATTCAGCCAACTGCATGGTATCCTATCCTCCAGTTGCAATCCTACTTAAGAACATAAAAACACTTCTCTCCTATCAAAAGTAGCCCCGGACTATTTTTGCACTTGAACAGAAGCGCCAAAGGCATCCATAAAGAATGACTATTTCTGCACATAGACGTATAATCATACGCCAACCTATCCAATTCAATCAGAACAAACTCTGCTAAAAATTACTCCAGCCCCCCACCTCCAATGAGCCTCAAAATAGGCTTAAGATGGCCCTCAACTACTACAGTTGCCAGCAATATAGTGGAATCAAGTAAATTGATAGGGGGAAGCAACCCCTTTATTTTCCAAGAACAACCCAATTCCTAGATCTAGCTAATTTCCCCAGAACCAGAAGCAATTCAACGGGCAAGTGCTGCTCAAAACCCAATCAAACTTTACCAAGTAAGAAAACCCACCAAAACAGAAGCGAAAGAAAGAAGCAACACAAACACTAAGCAACCAAACTCCAATCCAGGAAGCAGAATCAAAATTCAAACGCGAAATAATGCAAAAAGGGTTATATTACTAACCTCTCGACCGGAATGATGATGCGAGGAAGAAGAAGAAGAGGAAGGTTTCGAGGCATCATGTCCGCCGCCGCCGGATTCAGCAACGTGGATGAGAAGCTCTCGATCTGCCTCTCTATCCGGCTCCCGGCTGGTCATCACGATCGCCGATTTCTCATCCCCCATCACTCCAACCCCAACCTAAGAAGCAAACGCCGCCGCTGGCTCTCGCTATCCCACCAATTACAAAAACCCCAAAAATCCAAGGAAAGATTACAGCGAAGAAAACGTCTCCCTCCGCCAACGAAGAGAAGAAGAAGGAGAGACGACTCTCTCAAACTAAGCTCCGTCCCCAGCAAAGCGGAAAGGGGCTTTGTTTTCAATTTTGTAAGGAATAATAATCAGACGAGTCGAGGAAGATGAGTTGCCGAGTTCGATATTTCAAAATTATTTGAAAAAATATACTTGTATTGTCAAAACTTTAGCGTTTGTGTCAATAATAGCCAAATTTGAAAAATACCACTTATAGTCACTTTCATTCAATACTTTAATAGTGTTATCTAATAAGCTGACTAGACAAACGAAAATACTGATTTGGCGATATTACATCAACAACACACCCACGAAGATAAATAAAAAATAAAATAAAATAATGACATAAATTTAATTAACCACCCCTGCGAGCTTCCCTTACTCTCCCTCTATGGTCGATGATTGACCGCGTTGTTCCAGTGGGTCGCGAACTCGCGATGGCCTGCCAGTAACAAAGAGGACGACAGCGGCACCACCAATTAGCAGCGGCAACCGTCAAGCAGCGGCGGCAAGCAACTGAAGAAAAAGTATAATTGGATTTTTGTTTCATAATTAATAAAAAACTATTAATTATGTTTCATAAATAATCTCTAAAATCAATAAAAGTTTAATCTGACATGGCAATTGATAGTTGATGTGGATGGTGAGGTGGCATCCATCTCAACATGTTGTTGATGACATGTCAATTAGGGCGAGTCCATGTCAGCGCCACGTCCACATTACTGACGGCATCTTTAACGCCGTCAAAGTTTGTAATGAAAATGGCTAAATTTGACAACAAAGTTTTAAAAACATGGCTATATTTGTGTATTTTTCAAAATTTGGCTATTATTGTCACAAAGTGCATGTTTTTGGCTATACAAGTGTATTTTGCCTAATAACACCGTTAAAGTATCTAACAAAAATGGCTATATTTGTCATACAACAACTTTAAAAGCTGGCTATAAGTGGTATTTCTCCAAATTTGGCTATTATTGGCACAAACGTGAAAGTTTTGGCTATACAAGTGTATTTTGCCAAATTATTTTTTAATACTTAAGTAATTAAATAAAACAATAAATAATTCTGCTAATAATACCCGCAAAAGAAAAACAAACAAATAAAAAAAACAGAGATCCAGTGTTTCCTACAACTAGGGGTGTTCAAATGGTTACCGTGGTAATAATCAAACCAATTAAGTCTAAATTTTATTAACTATTGAATAAAATGCCTTAACCGAACCGTCCAAATTAATACGAAAATCAAATTAACCAAACCAAAATTTAATTGGTTTGGTTAATCGGACAATCAGATTAACCAAATAGTATAACATTACATGAAAACAATTATGTTGTTAATGAATAAAACATAACCATATGTTGTTACTATCATAAACTATCATTATATATAAGCAATAATAATAAGACTAACCATCTATGATTATCATCATCATTAGAGTTAATACATCATTCATAAATACATACCAATACCACTCATTAGGAAGTTAAAGCTCTCCTACAAAACACTTAAACTATACATAGTTTGAGGTGGTTGTCATGGTATTGTACGTAATCTAAAAGTCTAGTAGAGGTCCAAAATGTTTTGATTCAGTAAATAGGCGGGGTCATTTAATTTTTGACCCATAATGTTTTGGTTTGTTGTGCACATGAAAATAAAATAGTGAATCACGAAAGTTTTGTTTGGTTAGTTGCATGGTAGTATAAATAATTTTGTATATTAGGTGTATCATTAATTGGTTAATTGGTTTCATTGGTTAGCAGTGTTGAAACCAAACCAAACCACCTAAACCAAAATAAGCTAAATTGTTTAACCAAACCAAATTAACCGAATGCTACCGGTTAATATGGTTATCACGGTCAGCCTAGTTATTCTGCTAACTGCATAAGTTGTTAGTATATACTAACTAATATCCAAAATGTATGAACATGTATCCAAGTTTGGTGAGTATCTAGATAGCACAGACTAGTATTAAAAACATCACAAACTAGTATCCAGATAGCAGATACCAACTAATATCCACAATCAACCAACTAGTATTCAATATTGATACTCTTATGTGTTATTTGGATACTTTTATGTGTTATGTGGATACTAATTATGTGTTGTATGGATACTATTCTGTGTTGTCTAGATATTTGTTTGTGAATTTGAGATAATAGTTGATTCATGGTGGATATCAGTTAGCAAACTTTGAATACTAGTATGTGATCTCTAGATACTTTAGTACTTGGATACTAGTTCATGTATTTTGGATATCAGTTAGTATCTGCTAACGAATTTTCAAGTTAGCAGATTAACTTTTCCCTACCACGGTAACCAATCCGTTTGAACTAGGGATGGCAACAAAAACCGAATCCACGGGTACCCGACCCGACCCAACCCGGTCAATGCGGGTAAAACCCGTGTTGACGGGTTTGCGGCTGGGTTTGGGTTTAAACCCGTTCACTATTCGTCGGGTTGGGTTTGGGTTTAGGTAAACCCGTCCCATGGGTACCCGCCCACACCCATATAATTAATTTTCCCGGTATGTTTAATGTTCAAAACAACTAATCTTCTTTATTTTTGTGGAGACATGTCTAATTTTTTCTTTCTAATTGTGTAGAATGAAGTTGATATTATCGAGTGGAGAGTGAAGAAACTTAATTGACAAGGAGAGGAAGAAGTTTTCAATTAATCATGTTATTTATGGATAATTTGTGATTTGCTTGAATTTTCTAGAATGGTGTTTTATATATTGATAATTTGTATTGGGAGATTTATATTTGACTTTAATTTTGATAGGAACTTGTTATTGTAAATTTTTTACGACAAAAACTCGTGGGTACCCATGAACCCGTGGATACCCAGCGGGTTGTGTTGGATTTGAGTTATTCAAACCCAATGGGTTTTACCCCGAGTTTTTTTCACGGATAAACCCATGAGTTTGAGTTTAGATTTGGCAAAACCCGACCCAACCCGACCTATTGCCATCCCTAGTTTGAACACCCCTACCTGCAAGGGAATTTGTTACCTTTGGTTTAACGCGGTTGATTTATATAATAGATAGTTTGTTTGAGTGTATATTAGATGATCAAATGAAGTCGATAGAGGTGGTGTTTCGTTGGCGAAACTCGCGTGTTCAATGCGCACTGTTTTCAACAAAACACAAAGTCAATCACAACCGTCAAATATCCGCCGCCGAATGTCGGCGTCGTTGATTTGATCGATCGAACAGAAACAAAGACGACCGTCAAATATCCACCGCCGGCGTAGGCGATGTTGATTTGATCGATGCCCCTTTGACTTCTAATCAAACAACCGTTATTCGGTTCACCACCTCTCCAAACTACGTTCGAACGAGGGTGTTCGGCGAATAACCAGAAAATCAAACCAGGAGTGTTCTAAGTTACGTTACCTCTACTCCTATGGAGGTTCCTCTGGAGAGCTCCGCAACTACGACTACGATCTACGACTACTACGACTCTGCAAAGGAGGTCTTTGACAGAGAAGTTCTACGAACTAGAGAGAAAAACTGATAATCTGCGACGGTGCAGTTTGAGATTTGATTTTGCCGTCTCAAACTTCTCTCTCTTCCCAATCTTTATACTTCGCTCTTCTCCCCGCAGTCGTAGTAACTGCCTTCGCGCCTTTGTCTCCCACGTCTTCATTCCTGTCAACCGTGCAGGTAACTTCCTCCTTGTTGCGTAACTCCCACGGCGAAACCGATTGGACACGCGGCAACTTGGCCAAAATGACACTGAGCCAAAATCCACCATTGCTGAACTCTCGCCATTGCGACGTTGTTTTCTATTAAACAACATCGTTTTAGTACTGCGACAGTATTGATATCTCCCACGATGTCATTTTTGGCTAAAGCGACACCGTCTAGACTGATCCTTAAAATATTAATTAATTAAATCGGCCATCATTGTTGACACACCGTTAAACTCTCACTTCGCGGCGCCGTTCTTAATTAAACAACATCGTTTTCTATTTCTGCGATGCTGTTGAACTTTGCGATGCCGCTTTAAATTTAACACTGTCGTTTTAACTACCGTGGCATCGTTTGGCCCACTCGCGGCATCATTTTTAAATCCGCGGTGTCCTTTCTTCCTCTTGCGGCATCGTCTTCAACTAAACGACACCGTGCTAAAAAGTCATTAAAAATATTAATTAATTAATTTGGCTATCACTAGTCCAACTCGTGTATTGGCCAACAACATCATTAGCGCCCAAAACGGTTCCGTTTGTTTTTCCTTTTGCGACATTGTTTTTTATTTTAACCACTGTCGTTTGCTAATACAGCGATACCGTTGGGCTTACCCGCGGTACCGTTTTTAATTAAATGACACCGCTAACATAGCCAAAAAATAGTAATCCATGGAACCGCCGCTAGCACTCGCATTGGGCTGGGCGAATTTTGCTCACTTACCCGATATGGTTTTTAATTAATCGGTACCGCTTATCAAGGCTCTCGCGGCATTGTTTTTAAATCCGCGGTACCGTTTTAATTCTCCGCGATGCTGCTTGTCTCCATGCGATACCGCTTCTCTCCTTCCTACAAGGAATAATAATAATAATAATAATAATAATAATAATAATAATAATAATAATAATAATAATAACTCCTTTTCCAACACCAATACCAAAACGTGCGGCCCCATCTTGTTTTCCGGCGGTGTCGTTTTCTGTGCCGCGGTACCGCTGAGCTTCCTTGCGGTACCACTTTTCTGTTTCGCGGTATCGTTTTAACTCTCCGCGATGCCGCTCGACTCCAAACGACACCGTTTTTTACCCGCGGTATCGAATTAAATGCCGAGACTAATTAATGCGGCATTTAATTCAGGTCAAATTAATTTTAGGTGTCAACAAATGCCCTCCACAATTTGGTTTATAAGAATTATGAACCTTCTTATGAACCAAATTGTTGACAAAATAGTAAAACACCTAAAATACTTGATTCAAAGTGTTAGCCATGGTTTACCTGGCTAAATAAACAGGATGCCTGTCCTATTGCAAAAAAGCTGGATCGAGTATTAGTGAATTTTGACTGGTTGGACAAAATACTGGGAAGCTCTGTTCATTTTCAGAAGCCAGGGATATCTGACCACTGTCCTAGTCTGGTTGATACTGAGGCTGCACAGAAATCATTACCAAAACCATTCAAGTTCTTTCGGTTCTGGATAAATCATCCTAGGTTTGATCAACTACTG